CAAGTATGGAGTATACCACTGAATCGGTCAATTTAATTTTTAACAATTCTACCCCAAGATAATACAACTAACTTTTAATAGGAAACTAATACGAGTATTCTGACCGAATACATGGGGTTAAATAAAATAGGAATCCAATAAAATAAGAATTATAGATTAAATAAGTTTTATGTTCAATTTACAACTAATAAAGATTTTAATAACTTTATACTTGTATATGCTTAAATAATTGAAAATCAAGGTAATAAAACAAGACACGATAATAATGTAGTTAGAACACAAACAAAGAAAATACTAGATTTCTTAAAAATCAATACGGTAACATTTCCATATCTATGTCTAAAATGCACATTTGGATAAAATTTCAATATTACTCTCTTTATTTGAAGTACATTAAGTTTTTCATAATTTTTTGTATGCGACTTGCTGTGTCGTGCGGCAGGGGTTACTCGAGTTTCTCGGTCAGGGGTTGCTTAATGAGTTTCTCGATCATGGTTTACTCGAGGATCTCGGTCAGGGGTTACTCAAGTTTCTCGATCAGGGGTTACTCGAGTTGCCGGGATTACTCGAGTTTTTCTGTCAAGGGTTACTCGAGTTGCTGGGATTACTCAAGTTTCTTCGTCAAGGGCTACTTAAGTTAATCCTGACCGAATAACCCCTCGATGAATTACCCCTGACCGAGTAGCTAAGCCCCTCAAGTAACCCCTGACTGAACCCTTAAGTAACCTCTAACCGAGTAACTCATGATCGAACTCCTTAAGTAACCCATGACCGAATTACTCGAGTAAACCCTGATCGAACTCCTTAAATAACCCGTGACCGATAGTAACCCCTGATCGGGTAACTCGAATAACCCTTGACCGAGTTTCTCGAGTAATCCCTGACCTAGTAACCCCTCGAGTAACTCTTGACCGAGTGAACCCCTTGAGTAACCCCTGTCTGAACCCCCCAAATAACCTTTGACCGAGTAACTTGAGTAATTCCTAATTGAATAACTCCGGTAACTCCTGACAAAAAAACTCGAATAACTCCCGCCGCATGGTATGGCACTGCACCAAAAAGTTGATGTAAGTTTTTTCTTTCAAAGATAGTATAATAAGGTTATCACTTTTTATGCAATAATTAAGCTTTTCATCGTTAGTCTATTAGATGCGAAAAAATTGTGGATAGGAAGTACTTGTATTATCTTTGGTAATAGCCATTGAAAAACATACACGTCAGCTAATAAACTTGGTGAGATGAAAATGATCCCAAGCAATAGCACTAGCATTACTTCCAGCAATTGAGGTTTATGTTTAGCTAACAGTTTAACATCACTTTTTGGAATGAATGAACTGACATATACTTTTTAATTTATATTGTCTTGATGATGAGATTATCTCGGATTATCTTTTTCTTTTACGACCCTTAACCCTTTTTATGCAAAAATTAATAACATTCTAAAGCTATTTAGTGAACTCTTCATCCGTGAATTAGAGGGAGGAAGGGTAGTGAACCCCACCCCAAACCATAATCACAACTCCTCGCTTTTATAATTTACGCGTGTAGTGCGTTTTCCTTTAACTTATTTTGTTTTGTTACAAATAAGAAAAACTTAGAAAAATAGGAGTAATAAATAATAATAAAAAAAAATCAAATCATAAGTTTAAATTAAATAAGGATCCGTTTGATTCACCTAATTATTTTTCATTTAATTTAATTTGAGCTCATTCAAACTCATTAGATCTAATGAGGAATTATTTTAGTTGCAAATTGAATTTAGGTAACCATAATTAACCCCTTGTCGGAATTAATCTGGACTTTAATAAATTTATAACCCTTATTTAAACTTATTCCAATATTTTAGTTCAGATAAAGTTAAAACAAATTGAATAGATCAATAACAGCTCTTCCACTCATTGACAATAAACATCAAAACTGAAAAAGGAAATAGTAAAATAAAAAAGTGTTATCCCCGCCACCATTTCATGGCGTCTCTTAGTTTTCAGCCAGAATCAATGTATGCCTTAATAATTAATAAAACAGTAGTTAGCAATTGGCTTGGGAGCCAAATACAAAACCGAAATCTTAAAACAAGTTTGAAAGGACAAAAAGTGAAAACCAATTTAATTTATTGGAGTAAATTAGGCATTCGCTGTCTTTGGTGTATGCACGCAAGTGATGCAACGAGCTGGATTTACTCTTTGGCGCTTCATCATAAATTTCTACTAAAATTACAAAGTTAACATAATTAAATGACCGACAAACGGGACCGGGCTATAACGTCTACTTTACAAGTTTAAGTAGGTTTCACTTTAAAATCATATGACAATGAAGGGTAACCCCTTAGGGCTTGTTTTGATTTACTGTTTATGCTGAACTGATCTGAACTGAATTAAACTAAACTGAGCAGAACTAAATTGTTTATGAAATAAGAAAATTAGGAACTGAACTGAAATTAAGCTGAAGAGAACATGCCCTTAGTGTTACAAAGGGGGCACAATTTTTTATTTTCTTCAATGTAAGATATACATCTCAATTCTATAATTCTCTTCAATTTTTAACTTTTTTTAATGTAGAATAACAGTTTCACTCACATGTTGGTTTGTTCCCAGACTCAACACTCCCCCTCACATGTAAGTTAACCATAATACTAGCTTAAATCACAATTCATAACTCAACTCAATCTGAGCTCTGATACCATGATAAACAAGCCTAGGTCACAACTGAATGAGTAGAGTATAAAACATCATACTTTTAGTTGAATTGGTTCTTTAATAATGACCATTCTCCAAAAATTTTACAAATAAAACATATTCCCGAGTCTTAACCATCACCTTAACCTTTTGATTTAATTGATCATTCAATAATGACCATTGTCCAAAACATTCTATGGATTAATTTAATAATAATAATAATAATAATAATAATAATAATAATAATAATAATAATAATAATAATAATAGGAAAAAAAAACAATTCACACTAGATAACGAAATCAAATTAGGCTAGACCATGCCAGAAAAGTTCAAACTAAAATGATTCAGGCCAAATTACCTTATATAAGATGAATTGAATACCAGAATATTTTAGGTAAGGTAAGGAGAACATAACCTAATTAATTTTACTTGTAATAAAAATACTAGCAGTAGCAAACCAGGCCACCAACATATCATTGAGTAAGTCGAAATGAAATTATTCTAAAAGTTGGAATTATCGCTACATTTATTTCTATTAGCTTTATTCTTAAAACATTTGAAAATGTGATCTCCATGTAATTAATTTAATTTAATTTCTTTCCCATAGCACTTCTATTGAGCCTTTAATCATATGACATTGAAAGCAAATAGTGTTAAGCACTACTCAAAATTGCTGCCATATACTGTAAAGATCTTAATGCTTACTCCTTTTTGCTGTCTAGGAATGATAATGACAATTTTGTGTAGAATAATAATAATGTTAGTTGATGGTGTGCTTAATTATTGAGAATAATGCTAAATATATGATGAGTCATAAATCTATTTAACTAATATTTAAACCTAGTAAATATACATATATCCTGTTTTGCTAGATTAAGAGAGTTACATAAATTGTATAATATAGCCGCCATGCACTATGTTTATATTTGATCAAGACATGCATAACATGACAGCATCTTTAATTTATGCTACAACTCAATCCAATCAAAGGCAACAATCTAACAGAAAAAAGGATTGATTTCGGGAATGATTGTGTGCTAAGGTAGGTAAAAAGGACCTTATAAGGTAACACATGGTGAATGTAATTTCCATAATTGCTAGGATATAGGTAATGATCCATAGACTATACTATGAATCTAGGATTGTGATGTTTATAATTTTAGTAGTAGTTTCTCGATCTTATATAAAAGGTACGACATGCATGCACTATTTTTTTTAGGTGAGGAAAAGACGAGTTTGTATACAATTTAAATGATTGTTCTCTTTTAGAGATTTATTTTGAGAAACAGTTCAAAGAGTCGGTTTAAGCTTGTCATTAAGGGAAAAAAAAATTACCAAGTGTAAAGTAAAAATAAATATAAGAACAAAAAAAGATAGAGAAAAAATTAAATTTAATTAGAAGACCGAAAAAAGAAACATATGACTAATTATAGTATATAATTTCTACGCAAATATGTTTTTATATTCAACCAATAATTTAGCAAGGATTAAATATGATTAATGTACTCCTCAATACATTAAAAAATAAGAGACATGATCTAAATCAGTAGATAAGATAAACTATTTAGAAATGCATATATGCATTTGTGCATGTACATTTGTACTCGTATCACGATAGAAAAAGTGATAGGAGAGTCATTAAGCTAAGTGAAGAATAATGAGTATGCTCCCTCTTAGATTGAAGATGAAGAGGTCCATACTTATGAGTATTATTAAATACGTGAGACTTATATATAGTATAATTATTAGTAGTAGTTTTAATCAATAAACAAGGTAATCAAGCACTTTTTGATGATGATTGCTAAGTAAGAGAAGCCCACAAATTGACCCTTGAATAAAGAAAAATATATATTGTACTAATTTCTAAAAGGGATATCATAAAATAAAATTTAAAAAACCCTAACTAACTATTAATAAACATTAATTCTTATACAAATCATACAATTAGTATGGTTATGCCAATTGTCATAAGCAGATAACCAATCATAATGTTGATTACGCAACTAATTTCCATTAAGCACTTAACACACTAAAACATATTCTAGTGGTACCTTTTTAAATGGGTTAATTGTTTTTATTAAGCAAACCTACCTAATTGAGCAAGTAGTGCAAGATTTTATTAGGGCTTTTTTAGCATAGAAAAGTTTATCAAAATGAATGTTGCCATCAAAAGAATAACAAAAAAATGTAGCCCATGAAGGAGACCTAAAAGAGGTTAACTTTTAAAATAAAGTAAGTATTGTCTCACCCTTAATTAATTTAGCTATTAGAAGAAAGATTAGCTTAATAAGCTTCTAAATTGAGCACTATAAAAGGCAATCTATGGTTGCCCAAATTTAACAAAATTATTAAGAGAACGTTTTTACTAAGAGTTAAAGCATCAAACAAACAAACACACACAAAAAAGGTGGATTTGAGTAAAAAGATTAGAAAAGTTATTAGCAAAGTATAGTAATTAAAAACCGTGTAATTAAGGAGGAAAATGACAGGAGTTAGTACATCATGTGGAGCATGCAAATTTCTAAGGAGGAAATGTACAATTGAATGTGTTTTTGCACCTTATTTTAGCTATGATGAGGCAGTTGCTCATTTTGCAGCAGTTCACAAAGTATTTGGGGCAAGTAATGTTTCAAGGTTGCTTCTTCATCTCCCTGAACACTTTAGGGGTGAAGCTGCCTTGACAATTTCTTTCGAAGCTATCGCTCGAATGAGAGATCCTGTTTATGGTTGTGTTGCCTATATTCATGCCCTTCAACAAGAGGTTTGCTTCCTTATTTCGTTGTATAAATCTTCTTTCATTAAACCTAGCTTCTAAAGAAATCTCATTATTACTACAAGCAATATGTAGGCAAATCATTGTAGATTCAATTGATATTTAGTGTGCTTCCACAAGTAACACAATAATGTTTTCCATCAAGTACCACAATATTTTTTCATCATAATATATTTTATGTTATCTGACCATTTAACTAACTTTACCTTTTTATTTTATATGAAATTTTACAATATTCTTAGATATACGATTACATTAGAGGGTTTTAATAAGGATCAATGTGGTACTACTTGGTTAAAATATCCATGCATTGAGTAACATTTCCTAAAAATCTTGTAAACATAACCAAAATAAGTCAATTCACATAGAACGAACTAAGCAAGCATGATGTATAGACTAGTATCATTATACAGATCGATATTATCTTGATGATATGGTCGATCATGAATATCGTGTATTGTGTATATATCTTTATTGAATCGCGATGAGAGGCTCATATTGTACAATCAACAACACTGCAGGTAGCAAGTTTACAAGAGGAGATAGAAGTTATAGGCAACCAAATGGTGAATACCATGAGCATTGGAATTACTAGTGATTGTGAAGGTTCTCAAGCAACCAACAACAATCTACTTACCTATGATACATCATCACCCTTATTATTATGTTCACAAGAATATGAAATCATCAATAATTTACCAGAAGAATGGAATACTACTAGTACAAATTATCAAGTGGAACCAGTCATACATGCAGACAACAATGGATCATCATGCAGCACCCAAATGATGTTCAACAATCATATGATCAACTTATTACCAGGACAAAATAATCTTTTTGGTAATGGATATGGGCCCCAAGAATGTCTTCTAGAAGGGTTAATTAACCTTGAAACTTTTGATAATTCTTCTCTTTTTGGCTGCTTATCTCACACTCCCTCAATCCAATAGTTTATAATTATTTTATTTGAATTTGAGTCATGCTAAATAGTTACGGAGTAAATTTTAGCTAGCTAACTGGTAGCGAAATGACCCACTTATACACTTACTTTATCTACTACGGAGTAATCCTATATTACATTATAAGGTAAGAATATATACTTGGGTTTTCGCCTTCTTTTAGCTAACTAAAATTTACGTACCCTGGGACAGGGAGTCCAGTTATATAGAGGAGTTGGTGTTTATAATGTAATTAGTTGCTAGTGTGTATAATAGTACAGTGCGTTTGCTTCATATTGATATTAGAATATTCATTAGTCCCTTCTCTTCCACTTATATATGTTGCTACATTTTATTAGAATATATACATAATCGTACTGTTTCGGGTGAAAACAATGGGACCTTGCCGAAGGTCCGCTGAAATGGAGAAGGCTGGATTCGGTCCAAGTTATGTTGGGCCGAAGATTTCCTGCACAGTAAACACACGTAAACTAGCCTCGGGGGTGTTGCCGAGGAAGGCCCCTCCGATGCTAAAGTCAGTACAATGTGTAAGAAGAAGACACTATGCAAGAGAGTTTGTTGCTTGAGGCTTTTATGGAATATATCAGAATATATGAATGAACATATGAATCTATGAATGAATCAGAATGAATCTCTCCCTTTGAATGTATCAATATGATGGCTTTTATACCTCATCATACATGGAGAGGTTGGGCCTTAGCCCAATTGGCTTGCTTTGTGGGCTGACCTTTGACTTTAGCACAATTGGAGAGTTGAACCTTGACCTTGGGCTTTTAATTGGATCATTTAGTGCTTAGGCCCAATTGGACTAAATTGGACCCAAACAACTTGCCCCCCAGACCCGATTTGGAAGGATGACGGGTCGGGTTTGATTTAATTCAGAAAAGGAGGGAAGTAAATGATTTAATTAATCCAAAAATTTGAATTTAAACCGTAATTAATGAGATAACAACGATTAATGATTGTGGAAGTTGGACAGATAATGGGCAGTTTAATCACAAGATCATGTGTTTAACGGTTACTTAGTGGAGTATTTAAGAGAAATTAAAACGCAGACTCCTCGTTTCCCGTACCTGGAGATATAAACAGAGGCGCGTCATCTCTCCTCACTTATTCACCAACACAAACCCAGAATTCTCGAGAGAGAAACCAAGAACCCGCATCAAAACTTCGCAAATTCCCCGAGCATTAAGCTTAGAAACTGAGACTTGCCACTACGAACTCGTAAATCGGCAACTTTCGCTTCAGATTAAGGTAAATTCCTTTTATTTCAGTTTATTTTTCTTCGAATTCGAACTCCTTCCCCTTTTCTTTCGACTTTTTTCTTCGAAATAATCAATGGCAAGAGGAGTTAGAGGTAGAGCCCGTGCTCCAAGAAGAGCAAGGCCGATTCCCGATCCTAGGAACAGGATTGGGACCTGGAATGGACAAAGGCCAGAGTCTGACCCTGCTGAAGGGATTAGGGCGACTCCCCTTTCCTCGGCTCCTCCTCAGAGAACGGAGGAGCCGAGCGCTTCTGGACGGGATGATGAAGTTCCCGCTGTCCTTTGGGATATCCTCCCCGGGTTTTCAGAATGGGAGAATGCCGAAGTTGCTTCGGCCATGATAAAGAACCGCCCCTACCCATGGTGGGTGGAGAATGCCGATCAATATCGATTTGCCGAGCAAATTGAGTTGCATTACGGCATTTTTGAAGCTGATGGGTATTGGTGCCGAATGCCCTCGGCCTCTGATAGAATCCATCGTCCACCCCCGGGGTATGTGGGGGTGTACACAAGACAGCTTCAGTACGGGCTGAGGTTCCCTTTGGACGTATTCGTCCGAGACTTGCTGATCCATTACAACATCTCTCTATGTCAGTTAACTCCCACCAGCATCCGAAGGGTGATGACATACTTATGGGTCTGCAAGTTCTTCAAGTACGTGCCGAACCTGCACTGCTTCAAAAAGCTCCATCGGCTAGTGCCAAATATTCAAAGTGGGCACGGAAGCCATGGTTCTGGGTGGTACCGGATTGAGTCCCGGCCCCAATACCTAACCATGTGGCCAAACGACTCTTCAGACAAGGACTGGAGAGGTCAATGGATTTGGGTTAGGGCACCCACAGATCCGGGCCACCCTTGCGTCTTCAGCGCTCCCCGGTACCTCGCTGAGCCTGATCCCGAAATGGGAAGTCTAGGTCCCCCCGCAGATAACGGGGCGGATCCGAACCTGGATCAGCAACATATCTTCGGCAAGCTGCCGAACCGGGGGGGCAGTGGCCGAATGCAGCATATCCCGGAGACTTGGCTCCCCGATACGCATTACGTTTTCCAAGAGAACATGCTAGCAGTTGTTGGCCTCAGCCGAAAGTTTAAGGATGGTAAGCTTCTTCGGCTGGGGCCGAGGCTTTTTAACTATCTCTTTTTCTTCTCTCGCTTCGCTTTTTTATGCTGTGCCAACCTATCTGAGCTAACCTTTCCCCTTTCCTTTTTTCAGAGCGGGACGAGACCAACGTTGGCATTAACTACGCTCGTCTTGGTGTCAACCGAGAACGAGTTGTAACTGAACGGGCCCCGTCTATCACTGAGCCGAGGCATAGGGAAGTTCATCTAGACTCTTCCCACTTCCAAATTGAGGCTGTTGCTCTGTATCAGAGGCAGAAGCCTTGGTGGAAGAAGAGAGACCCCTGGTTTCAGCTGCTGGACGAAGAAGCTGAAGCTGCCCGCACAGCCGAAGAGGTTGCACGGGTTCTCGAAGCTTGCGAATGAGGAGAAGGGTCCTCCAGAGCTGCTGAAGCATAAGCTGCAGCTAGAGCAGCTGAAGAAGACGAGGCTTTGCTGAAGACCTCGGTGAGCTTTCAGACTTAACTTTTTCTTTTTTCTTTTCTTCTTTTTTTTTTTTTTTTTTTTACTCACATTCTTCCTCCCCCCTGTCTGTTACAGTCTGAAGAGAGTAACAGACACAGAGAAGGGAAAGCTCCTGCTCGTCCCGAAGACCAAATACAAGGAGAGTCTTCAGACTCAGATATGGACGAGCAGCCCCTTCTGAAAAGGCGCCGAAGGATGGCCATCATCGGCCCTCATGACTTTCAGAGGAGGCCGATGACCATCGGCGTTGCAATAAGGGAACCCGAGGAAGGCAATGGATCGCCGAGGGTTCCCCGGCCACCACCCCAATCACCTCAGAAGACCCCTCCGCCACCTCCTGAGATGGAGGTGGATCAGAGAACTCCCGAATCTAAGGGAGGGGTCCAAGAAGAAATTAAGGAGAGTGCTGCTGAGCACGAAAACAAGGATGCCGTGATGTCCAGTGCTGAGGGCTTCACGGCAGACATCGCAAGAGAGGTTGAGGCTTTCGTCCTCACCCCTGAAGAAGAGGAGGTCATAGTAATTGACTCCTCTGAGAAGGATGATGCTGAGCCATCCAAAGCTAATCAAGCTCCATCGTCATCCTTCCCTTCTTTCCAGACTCTGCAATCTGGAGAAATGGGTTTCTCGGCCCCCCGAATTCCAATCCCAGACCACATCTGGGACCTCATATGGGGTCAGAACCGAGAAGGAGCTGCAGCCTACTTCGGCGATTTTGCTGGCATGTCCGAAGTAGATAGGGCAAGGATCTGGTCGCTGAAGGCCACTGCTGGGATGGGCGAATCCAGCAGATCAGTTCCTGACCCAGCCAGGTCTAACCAACTGCTGATGATGCAGGTAATTTTCCTTGTCTTCATTTCCTCTGAAATTCAGCTCTATATATTTTTTTTTATTTATTATTTATTTTTATTTTTTTTTGTCTTCCTGTTTTCAGTTTGTGCACAATCAGACTCTCACTGTAGAGCTGATAGATACCCTACAAGATAGGGTAGACGCTGCTGTGCACGACAAGAAGGTGGCTGAAGAGGAATTAAAGCTTGCTAAGCTGAAGCAAGCAGCAGCTGAAGAAAAGCAGCAGAAGGGTGAGGAGTATGAGAAAAGAGCTGCTGAAGCCCTCAAAACCTTCTGCGACGCTATGGAGAAGGAAGTTTTTCCCCCACTGATGGAAGGGGAAAAATTCCTCCAGGAGCATATGGGAGTGGACGTCTCCAAATTCAAGGCTGCTGTTGAGAGCCGTATTCAGGAAGGAGCTGCTGCACAAGCTGAAGTGCAGCAACGTCTAGAAGCTCTTGAAGCTAGCCGAATGGCTGCTGAAGAGCTGCTCCGGGCCAAAGATGTCCAACTCTCAGAGGCTGCTGCTGCTGCCGAAGCTCAGAGAGCTAAACTCCATGAGGCTGAGGATCAACTGATGACATAAAAAGTTGAAGTGGCCCAAGCTCAGACAAAGGCTTCCCAAGTTCAGCAGGAGCTGAATGAGCTGAAAGGTTCCTCCTCCAAGCTCGCTGATGAGCTGAATAAATCCAAGGAAGACTTGGAGGAGACCCAGAAGAAGCTGGTTGATGCTGAGGCTCTACTCAAAGTCCGTGTCTATACCCAAGAGGAATATGAGATGGGTTTCAGAAACGGGTTCCGAGTATGCCGAAGAGTCTGCCTTCATGCTGAACCGAAGCTGGACTGGTCTAAATGTGCTGAATGGGTCCAGAATCCCGAAGACCCTCATATGAAGTATGCAACTCCAGCCGAAGCTGAAATCTTTAAGGCTGAGGAAGCCGAAGAGGAAGCTGAGAGAATGGAGTTGGAAGCTGAACAGAGGGAAAGGGAGGCTCGGCAGAGTGCAAAGCCCGCTTCTTCTGCTGCTGGGGCTGAGGCCACCATGGGGCTCAACGCTGATCAGTCTGATCCTCAGGCTGAAGCATAGGAACTCGGGCAGTCGTCTTCAGAATCTTGCGGTTCATCATGTGCTTAACTTTAGACTTGCCGCTTTCTGAATTTTTTGCCTTGTTTTTTGCTTCAGCTTGCCTTGTCGTACAGCAGTTTATTTTTTTTTGCTTATGTACATATTTCGGCAGCTGTTATTTTCCGCTTGTGGGCGGCTGCCGATACAGTTTAATTGAACTTGTAGCTCAATTTCTGAGCATGAATTATATATCTGATGTTCTTTTCTTCAGTTGCTTTGTTTTTGAATGTTTTACTGTTTCTGTTTCTTCAATTCTGCCGTACATACTTGCACTGAGAGTGCTTCTTGCCCCCCAGAAATTGAAGTATGACTTCAGCGGAATAAGCAATTTCTTCACTTCTTCAAAATGGGTATCCGAAACACAGGGCCAACTGAAGGCAATGCTTCTGGGATACAAGTCTTACTGAAGATTGACTTCATCTGAAAGTTGGATATCCGAAACACAGGGCCAACTGAAGGCAATGCTTTGGATA